AAAAAAGACAAAAAAAAAAAAAAGAAGAGCCAACAATTTGAAATTACATTCAGAAAGAAATCATGTTGACATCACTGAAAATGATCTCAGGTATACAGGGCACACAGAAGAACTAACAGCCGAGTGTTAAAGGGATAGATGTGCTTACGGCAAGAAGACTGGAGTAGGAGAAAGACTCCACAAAGAAATAAAGCTGCGGGCATGTGGCCTGTTTATGCCTCAGATTAAACCAGTAGGCTGCAGGAAGTGTGATCACAGATAGTTATAACACCTAAAGCCTTGAAGTCAGTATTTTATGTCCTCTGATGTTTATCTAGAACTTTCCTCCCTGGTACTTTGCACTACAATGAGCACAATTGCATTTAACTCATGGAAGCAGCAGAGGCTGAGCATGGGAGAGAGGAGCATGGATAAATGAAAAAAGACAAAAACCAGAAAAAGGTGCTTGGAGTACAATGTTTTGTGCAGTGAATGCCACAGGTCTTCTGTTTATAGAAACGTATTAGTCCATTTTGTGTTGCTATAACAGAATTACCTGAGACTGGGTAATTTATAAAGAACAGAGCTTTATTTGGCTCACAATTCTGGGACAGCTGCATCTGGCACGGGCCTCTGACTGCTTCTACTCATGGTGGAAAGTGGCAAGCAGCCAGCGATGGGTACAAGCCAATCACATGGCAAAAGGAAGCAAGAGAGAGAGAGGAGGTGCCAGGGTCCTATAAACAACCAGCTCTTGTGGGAACTAATAGAGCAAGAACTCACTCATTAACCCCCCCTCCCCCAGGGAGAACATTAATCCATTCATAAGGGATCCGCCCCCATGACTCAATCAGTTTCCAACACTGCCACACTGGGGATCAAATTTCCATGACTTCTGAAAGGACAATACATCCAAACCGCCATCAAGAAACTTATGCCAAATATATGCAAATTTGCAAATGGTGATGCTAATTCTTGCATAACATCCTTACCTTCATTCTTACTGTGGGCAGCAGGACCTTGGCAGAGGAGCCACAGGTCATTATCTGCTGTCTGAACAGGGCCAATGGTCAAGTGGTAAAGAGGGATGAGCAAGGCCACAATGTGATGGATATGGATTATGCTCTACCAGAGAATAGAGTACGGGACATTCAGGATGGGGAAAAAGGCAACTTGGAGTTTAAAAGACAAAACTTTGACTTTGTCTTGATCCATTCTACACCACTATGTGTCAGTCTCAAAGAACAAACCAAAGACTATAGAAGTGCTGGCCAGAGCAGCTATGGGTATCCTAGACGTTGTCTGGGAAAATAACTTACAAATTAATGAATTCATGTTATATGTTATTTTCTTAATTATTCTTTGTTCCTTGGATCACTACTGTTTTCATATAAAGGTCTTATCCGAGCATACTTCTCTGCTGTGTCATATAAGACGTGGAATTCTAACATACCGAGTTTCTTAGAAGACAATAAAGGGCAAGTAATTAACTAGAAAAATAACTGGCTTCTTGATTAAACTCTCTCCCAACAAAAGGTATAATTTCTGAAATACAGGAAAAACTTCAAAAGTTTGCGAAGTTTTTTCCCCTTCTATCTATGTTGGCAAAGCATTTGGTTTCTCCCATAGTCATATAAAGTTCAAATAGACCTTTTGGGTGAACATGTGGCTTTCCTATGGCCTGTAGTCTGTCCATGCTGTACAGAGGTCAGGGATGTTCTTTGGCTCAAGGGTATGAACAATGCTTATTTTCAAGTTGCTGTTCTCTACATCTTGCTGGAAAGGAAGAAACAGCATACACTTTCCTGACTGAAGAGAGACAGATTGGTCTCTCTGACACAAGGGCCCCCCAGTTATGTCACAGAGCTGTGCTAAATACCAAACCTGAGCTCCCCATGTGTACCCGAGCTTCCCAAGTGAGTTTAGTGGAGCAACTCTCTAAATGGTGTGGCTCCCATTTTAATAACACCTCCCCATGCTACCTCTCCAACACTCCCAATGATACTACCAATCAAATTGCAAAGCTCAGTGACAGGCTGAAACTTCAAAGGGAACCTAGCATCCAGTTCAATACTTCCCTAAGTCAGGAGGGAGCATTCCTGAGCCCAGCACCATACAGGAACAAGGCTGTGACACAACAGCAGATGTAAATGCCACCCATCATCATGCAAAGATAAAGAGCCTCTAAATCCAACCACAGGGCACTTGGGAATATCCAGTGCTGCCCTGACACTTTGATTGATGGCCACACCTTTTAATTAGCTCCTCTTGTCTCTGGAGGTTTTCAGAGAACTGATCACTTGCTCCCACCTCCCTCTCTCCTGCTGCCATTTGCCTTCCTGAATAGACAGGACCGGAGTAGGCTTGAGCCTCGCTGGCCTCATCCCCATGAGCCCACTCACCACCATGTGGTCCTCCATCCCCCAGCACAAGCTTCTCCACTGACCTTTCGCAGAAGGAAGCAGATGCGCTCGATGTTCCTCAGCCGTTCCCGCTATCACGACGCACAAGAAAGGAGAGGGAAAGTTAGGAGTCTTGCTGAAAGAGCGTGAGAAGCCTCCCCAGTCAGCCCCAGTAGAGGAGGCAGAACCCACCAGAGATCCCTCCACCCACACAGCCAGCATTCTCCCACCCAGTGGCTTTTTCTAACCAAAGTTTCTGACACTTCTCCATCTGCATTGTTATACTCATTTGCTCACAAGAGAACTCTCTCTGCAAACAGCGTGTGCTCAGCTTCCCTCTCAGCCCAGCACAGGTTTTCTGTTCTTTTTCTACAAGCAAAGTCTCTCTCAGCCTCCATGTATACATAAGGTGATCAAACTGCAGAATAAATACCACGTGCTCACTGAATGACCTCAAGCCTGGGGCTGGCCCTCCCAGAGGACCCCCATTCAGGTCTCAAAGAGCACAAGCCCCCTCATTAGTGGCAGAGGTAGACAAGTTCTCCGCCCATTGGTTTTACTTTCCTAAAGCGAGCATATTTGGAGGAAACAAACTCCCCCACTAAATTACACACCAACAGTGCCCCCAGGCTAAGACTCTTCAAGAAATCCAAGTCTGACTTGCTGCCAAGATGCCCATGTCAGGGAAGGTAGTGATGTCTACATCACACACTAAACACTGTGGCCTCCCTTCCCCACGTGATTTTCGTGATTTCTGAAGCCACACTGGACCCAGCTATGGCATCTCCTGGTGCTTCATCACCAAGGCAATTTGGTGGAGACGACAGGTGGCTAGGACATTTCAATTCCTGTGCATCCTGTGAGCCCAGAGGAAGGAGCCCACACAAGGATAAATCAGTGTCCTCATGGCTAGGAACACAGATCGCATGCTCCTCAACACGTATGCACACACACAAATACGCATGCACACAAATACGCACACACAAGTACACACACACACACGAATATGTGCACACAGACGAGTACGCACACACACACACGAGTACACACCCACACAAGTACACACACATGACTACACACACACATGAATATGCACACACACAAGTACACAAACACACACACATACAAATACGTACACACACACACGTACAAAAAAGGGTGCTATAAGACACACTAGCTCCTTCCCCAGCAGGCCAGAGCCTCTGAGGGACAACTTCGTTTATTATTCTAAAGAGATACTGAATACCCAGCTGGTAAAAGGAAGGGAAAACATGAGAAACAAGGAGTAAAACAGGGCATTCTTCTTCCTTTCCACCCGCTGAAAGGGGTCCCCCACAGGGTCCAAAACTATTTGGAGCTTTAGGGCATCATGAATCCAAATGGGCTTCATGCCCTTGTTGAGTAATGCATGATACGGGTCAGCAATTATTTGTAACACAAGTCCTTCTGGGGCCGGAATCCCCAACCAGTGAAGTAGCTTTTTCAAGGCACCTGAGCCTGAACTGCAGCTTTAGGGGCTCCAAGAAGACCTGAGAGCTTGAAGATGAGTTAAATGAGGCGTCCAAAGTGTCCAGCTTCCTGCCAGGGAGTAACATCTAAGAACTGGGAAATGTGTCTGACCCTCTTCCACTCAGGGGCCTTATGCTGGTTTTTGTTTTTAAGTCCAGACAAGAGCCTTTTCCCAGAGGAACATAGGCACTTTAGTCCGTCCATAAAATGTACTGGCTTCACAGGGCCCAGGCTCCTTAATTAATCCAATTAATTAGAATTGTAGCTTTAACAATAAGATTTTTTTTTTAAAAAGTGAGCTGAGACACAGCTTCCACGTCACACAATGTCACCACCAGTTATTTCATAAATAAATAGAAGCTAAGTGCCTACTACGCACAAGTTCTGCTCTTGCACTGGCTTTTCACGGAAGCTTCCTGGGGAGCTTATACTGGTCTTAATTTTTTTATTCTATCTTAATTAAGGGGCTTGCCACAGTGAAATGGGAAGGGGCTCCACAAAATGTTTCATGGTTTCACCAATTACTGGCAACCCAGTGTGGAATTTGCATGATGGAATTAAGAGTCAGGACAAATTTCTCCACTAGCATTTATCCTGGGCTTGTACCAAAAAAAAAAAAAAAAGAAAGAAAGAAAAAGAAAAAAAGCTCTTGGTGTTCTAAGTAAGCTGCTTTTTAATTTGAGCCTAAACATTTAGTAGGAAAGAAAACAGGTTCTTCACTTCCCTGGCATTTGAAATTAGAGGTGCTCTCTCTCAGACTACAGCTACTCTGTGCACCTGGTAGATAGTGACAAGCCGGGTGTGTGACAAGCCAAACACAGAAATATCCAGAAAGACATGAGACCCAGGGTGAAACCCTTTCAAGCCTGATGGATCCAAGTTACCTCAGGTAAATGGTAAAGCTGGAAGGTGAAAACAAAATGGATTTTAACAATTGTAAGTTTTGTGAAATTCAGTAAGTTTTCCCTTTTTTACTGAAACATAATTGATTATGTTTGTGGGGTACAGAGTTGAATATCAATACCTGTGTACATTGTGTGATGATCAAATCAGGCTAACTTGCATATACATCATTATAAAACATAAGCATTCTTTGTGTCCATTAACCAATTTCTCACCAACTGCCCTCCCGCCCCTTCCCACCTCTAGTGCTCTCCTTCTGAAAGTTCAAACTATTATTATAATTGTCCATCCTTCCTTCCTCCCTTACCTTCCCTTCTTTCTCTCTCTCTCTCTCTCTCTTTCTTTCTTATTTGAAATACAGTAAGTTTTCAAGTGAATCTTAGATGTCCTTTCACCTTGCAAGAAAATTTGCTTTACATGCTTGACTTTGATTTGGCTCTATTTCATAGAATAAAATAAAGGAAGGGGGTGCCAATGGGAGCCTCGGATATCATAAAATCAAGTCTCTTAAATTAAGAGACGACATAGAGTAGGTGGTAAGAATGCAGGCTTTGGAGGCAGGCAGACCCGGGTTCACATCCTGACTCCACCACTCATGAGTCCCTGGACAAAAGAGTAAGTTGTATGGTCTACAAAGTGAGTTAATGCCTGTCTGGCAGAGTTGTTGTGAGGATTACAGATTATATATATGAAGTTCCTAGTACATAGTAAAGACTCAAAAAAATTACAACTCCAGTAATAACCCTCTACTTTATAGAGGAGAACACTGAAGCCTGGTCCCAACAAATAGTCATTTGATACCTCCCTAAGAACACACCCTTCTCCAGGGGCCTGTAGCTACGGATGAGAGACCACTTTGTCCCTGTTACTAAAGAGCAATGTTTTAAGCCTTCCAGGTTAAGATGATGTCACACCAGCAGAACGTGTTGTTCTCTCTATAACTTCTGACCGAAAAGATCAACAAAGCTACTCAGACAAAAATTTGCCTTAGCATTGGAAATGCTTGCCATGGCCTGGAAAGAACTTCGACTAAACACAGAACCAGTGAATTTGGATTGAGAAACACACCTGAATGAACTGCGAGTTCTCCATCCTTTGAATCCAGCAGTGCTAGTCTGAAGTAAGTTAGGAAAAGGCTCTGTCCACATGCATGGTTGGTTCTGGCTTTGGGACAGGGGCTGCACTGACCAGAGAAGCAAACAGCCAACACCCATCCTCACCCCCACCCAACATCCATTCACAGCCTCCCCATCGGAGGCACAGCCAGGGCAGACAGGAGAGGCAGCACGCAGGGCCATACAAGCCAGATGTGCAGCTAGACTCTGGGAGTGTGTGTGCTGAGGCAATCTTTCACATACCAAACCTTGACCAGAACAACCACACTGCACCAGTTCCCCAGTGGGAGGTGAGCTGGCCTCAGGCCCACAGAATCACCTAAGGGAAACAGTGCCGGGTGGTGGGTGTGCATGAGGAACTTTGTGCATCAACCCAGCCTCCAAGTCTCCATCTGAGAAGCCTGGTGCCCAAGTGCACAGTGCAGACTGAGATGCCCACTCATGGTGCTCACACACACCCCAATCATGGTAGCCAACATGGTAGAGCCTCCCTCCTCTTGTTCAATGACGAGTAACCAAAAAACACTACCATCCCTTGAGGACTCAACAGCCCCAGCATAGCAGACCCCTCCCCTGCATTACTGGGACTGTCACACTTCATTTGCAAGCTATCTCAAGACCTCAACAGGCCTAAAGACAAGAAGCTCCTCAACCACCTTGAGCCAGGTATGGATGAACAGATAGGGCCAGTATGTTCTTTACCCATCCTACCCATCCAAATCCTCACCCTCCTTCACAGGCCACGGCAGCACCCTCTTGTCACCAGCACATCTACTTACCGCATGAACAGGGTTGCACTGGTCTATGGGGCTCTTAAAATCCGTCTTTAACTCATCAAAGGCAATTATCTGAAACAGAATACACAGAATCAAGATGTCAGTGCACAGGTGAGTCAATACACCATGTCAAAAGCTTCCTATAGATTTGCGTCAAAATAACATGAGATAAAGGAAGAGGGTAGAGATGACACAAGACTGGCCAGGAGCTGGTCACTGTTGAAGCTGGTGGTAGACACACAGGGTTGACTATAATCTTCTCTCTACTTCTGTATATGCTTAAAATTTTCCCAAGGAAGCTTTTTTAAGTCTGTGCTCTATAAAGATGTAAAGAAACTTTGTTGTGGTTAGGGCAGGTTTGGATTTAGATAAAGGCACAGATTATTTAAAGCTTCAAACTAGTAACTTTCAGCTTCTTTCCTTACAGGAATGCCTGTTCATTTTTTATTTTTGTGTATTTTGGCATAGATGCTGATTTGAAGTAAAACAGAAGTCAAACAAAAGGGAAAAAAGAAAAACAAGGAAGCGGAGTTGACAGTAATAGAAATAGCCAAATTTCTTGATGTCCACTGACTGGACAATCAGCTCCTGGGCAGTAAGTGCTTCACAGCTTAGTCCTTTGGACTTTGGTCCTAAAATTCATTCTGGACAAAGACTCAGAGCTCCCCAGAGAGCTACAGTTTCCCCACTAGTCTGGAGAGTCAAATGTTGGAGGTGACCTTCTCCAGTCACAAAATGAAGCACGGCCCATCCACAGAAAGAACTAACTGGGGTGGGGAGTAGTGGGGAGTTTCTCGATCACTAACCCCAACCACCTTGTCTACCAAGGGGACTAAATGACAGAAAAAAGTGGTATTTGGGGGCTGGCCCGGTGGCGCACTGGATAAGTGCACCGCTTGGGAAGCGCGGCGGCGCTCCCGCCCGAGGGTTCAGATCCCACATACAGACTGGTTACCGCTCACTGGCTGAGCGAGGCGCGGGAGCGGCACCGAGGGTTGCAATCCCGTTGCCGGTCCCCGGTCCGGTACGGGGGCAGCACTGAGGGTT